AATTGACATCTTTTGCAAACCAGGCTTAAAGCAGGGCTTAAGGGAGGCTATTTTAGTAGTAAAATGAATCATCTTCAAATAATCTAGTCTTCCACGTGTGACATAACGTGCTGTACTTGTCAATAAATGCCCTTGTGATGTTTAATTTTACAGGAATTGGCTAGAAAATAGGAGGAGCAGGTTCCTGCTATCACCTGTGCAATTGAACGTTGTACCAAAGATTGACCTGCAAGTGGGCAGAGGGTCATATTGCCACATATATCATTAATTTGTCCAAATTCTGTATAACTATTAACTTCAGGGCATAAAATCTAGAGAGACAGGCTAGTTACAGAGGTGAAGAGGGGGCAAGACCAAAATGAGATGAAAGACAAAGCAGGTCTAAAGCCTTGCAGAAAGCAGAATCCAGGAACATTGACAGCACTGGACCTACTTCCTTAAAGTGTTTCCCATGGGAAACTAAGTGGCCTAATTTGGTATTCTTGGTGCAGAGATGCAGAGGTTGGCCCGATGTAACATAAATCTACATACTGTACTTGAATAACATTTTATTTTAAGAATTTTGTATTGGCTGACCTGTAGCATACAGAATATTTTTATGTTCTTTTTTATTATTTTATAAAGATGTTTCAAAAGCTTAATATACAAGGACAGTCAAAACAGTTGTATCTTCATTATGAGGCTCTTGGGACCTTATCCCACTGCCAGTTAAGTTACAAGAACTTTGTTTCTGACTTCAGTGGATAAGATCACAGGTTTTGTGGGAGCAGGGGGAGTTAGGCTCTGAACTGGGAAGTGAGTAACGCTCTGCTGATCTCCACTGGAGTTAAGCAATAGGCCAGGGAAGTTAATATGCTCTGGTTAAAGTACTAGAGGTGGTGAGTTTTCCCTTTGTGTGTGTGTGCACGCGCGTGCATTTGCGTGCCTGGGAGAAGACTGGCAAGACCACTCTGATATCTCAATTAACAGGAATGAGACTAAATTTTTACCTAGCAGCCAGGGGGAAACATATGATCCTTAATTTTGGATTCTTTTTTTTTTTTAATAAAGGGGTCAGCATAAATTAGATATTCCTTTGTTTAAAGGAGGGAGTTTTAATGAGTGTAACCTTATTTCTGCAGGGCTATAGTCTTTAGATAAAAATTATAAATTTTACTCAGCATTTTTCAGCAATGCATATTTAATATAGTCCTGATGCCCAAGAAAGGATTTGTATGAGGGAGAAGAAAAAAAAACACATTTATTTTAAACAAGCAAGATACTTACTTTTCAAAGCTGAGTCACTGAATTTATGGCACAAGAAGTTGTCTCAAAGACACATATGCCTTCATTTTATTTTTTGTGCTGTACCACAAATAATTTTGAGTGGCAAGACAACTGTTTACAAAGCTATGGAGCATTTATGAATCTGCACAACAAGGATATTCTATAGCTCTGTTGCTATCTGGCAAGAATATCTGGTAGCTACTGGAATAAAAACAAATTTCTCACATGATTCTCTTTAATACCAGTTTCGCTGCATCATCAGGTGCACTAAAGGCACTGAAGACACTAAAGGCAGCATGGTTCAGTCCTACCAAAAGAGATTATGGGTCATTCTTTGTGCTAATTGTTTCATAATGCTCAGTACCTCAGTGTCAGTGCGGTAATTCCTCTCTGTAGCTGTATACAGAGCTCTGTCAGAGAGCTTTCCTTGCAAAGCCTTTTGATTCTTGCTTGGAAAACACTCTGTAAGTGTTAATATTATTTCTTTTCCTTTATTGTGGAATATGTATTCAAGCAATATCCCTGCTTTCAGCACCGCGTCAATTCCTGGTGTATATCTGCCATCTGATGCAATAATACTTTGTTTGGGATATCAAAATGGGTAACTGCAGAATATATTGAAATGCCAGGTAGAAGAATTATAATTTTGTCTGGGAAACCAGTAGAAGAGCTAAGAATACTTTAAACATGAAAGAAAGTCCTCTACATATAAGCAGATTTGTTAAGAGATGGTTTTGAGGTGTTGCAGAAATAACATTTACCAACTTGTGAAATGTTCTGAGGTTGGATCCTCAAAAATCCAGACCTGCTCTGCTAATGCCATTCTGCAGAGTCATGGCATTAGTGAGTGAAACAGGATGAAAAAAAAAAAAAAAGAAAAGTAAAGATGCAGATGTGAGGGTATGATTTGGGTTAGTGGTGCAAGTATAAGGTGTGAAAAATACAGGCTAAGGAAGAAGCCTATCCTTTCAGTATAGTGAAGGTAAGTATCTAGCCTGGACTCAGTAGCAGACAAGGTATTGTAGTTTGCAGTCCTGCACTGATGAGTGAGTGGGTTGTGATTAAAGCAGCCCAGGGCACCTGCAGAGAGTTTTGTAAATCATCAGTACCTTTTGGATTCTATGGTTTGCCTATCACTGAAATTGATTTCATACCATTGTGTGCTTTTTGTAATTGTTCTTAATAACATTTCATTCAACTTTGTGACTTGAAGACACAAAGCTAAAGATTTCTGTTATGAAGAATGCAGCACACAGCAAGCTCCTTACGAAGTCTCTCTGCACTGTTCTACCCTCTCCTCCAGATAAGAATGGCTGCATTATGCATGTCAGGAAAAGGTCTTTTCCCCACCTGTTTTAGTGAGCAATGCTTTAGTCATGCCTATCATCATTTACTGACTTTGCACCGATACACAGAGATGAAAAGTACAAGGTTCTGGAGTGTGCTGAATAAATTAAAGAAAGAGATCAGAGACAAGGAACAAAACCAGCCCTATTCCTAGTCAGCAAAACAGAGGGAAAGTACCTACTATTTAAATGCATTTGGATACTATATTGGATACTATGCATACCTTTTTTTCTCCCCTTTTATAGACAAAAGGCTGTCAGTTAAGAGTTGGGCCCCTGAAAGGATTTCTAGAGAGAGGACAGGAGAGCCAGCAGTTTATATTGCAACACCAAGATGATGATTTTTTCACTCTTCTAGCTGACACAATGACATCTCTTTCTAAACCTCAGCTCTGTGGGGTACCAAGTGCGCGCAGTGATGATGTGAGCGTGTTGGGGGTTACAGATGCTCAGTCTGTGTCGGGTCAGAGCCCACAGCAGTGGCTTTAGCCCTTCAGCCCACCCAGCAGCTCTGCCAGCACAGGGTGTGCTCTGGTGGAGGCTCTCAGCCTGTCACCTCACTGATGCCTTGGATACAATATATGACAAAGAAACTTGTATTGTTACAAGCAATAAATTCTCCACTGAGATATCTTAAGCAATGACTCATTAAACATCCCAGGAAAGATCAAGTGTTTTGAAATAACTTCTCAAAGGGAAAATTCATACTCTTTCAAGAAACTTAATTGTTTCTCACATTGCTTCTGCCCTGTGATCATGATGTTTTTAATGGACTGGTCTGCATCTGTGTTTGTTGAACAACAGTAGTAGCTATACTGGCTTCTGCTAGCTACGGATATGCTCTACTGCATTCACGTTTGCTTTTTTTTTCTGCAAAGTTCCTTCAATCATTCAAAATCAGGGAGGAAACCTACTTTGTCAGGGGATCATGACCTACTAGCTACATATCTACTACTACTACTACTGGTACCATATGGTGAAAATGTATTTGTATCCTCAGGTATGTATTTTTGCAGTAGTTGGAAACTTGCTTTATATTATAAACTTTCGTTAAGAGCCAGCACAAGGACTTAAACTTCAGTAGCCAAATAGAACTTTGCTCACAATTTTCCTTCTGTTTGGAATTTTTAACAGCCTTAACATTAGCTTTATGTAGATCCTGAAGCTTAAAGATTTTTAAGTTTATGATTCAATAAGCTAGAGATTATAAAGTTGCCCTACAATAGCTTAAAGTAGTTGTCTTGCAGTAAAGATTCTAGTCTAAATGCTATTACACATTTATTGAAATTAGAATTTTATAACACTTCACTAGGACCAGGTTGCTGAACTCAGTTTAGTTTTCTACAACAGTCTCTAAAAATAATTGCTTACCACTCAATTAGAAATGTTTTGGTAGGGTAACTAAGTAAACATGAATACAGAACATTAATAAAGGCTTTTTCTTCTCTTTCTTTTTCCATTTCTTTCCATATTTAGGCTGCTAGATTGTCTGTGTCTCAGAGAAATGAATTTTGGAGAGATATTTTTGAGAGTTTATTAATTCAATGTGTTGAGACATTCCACTTTTAGAGGTAGTGCTAGTATTAAAGACAATATGATCAAATTTCACAAGGACTTGGGAACACAGAATATTGTGTTAAGACTACATCAAATTCTTTAATATTTTAAAATTGAAAGTGTACACAGTGGCTGCCAAAAGCTCACATGGCAATCTCCTGAAATGCCTGAACTAAACCCATTGAAACCAATAAGTACCCCTCTGTGGGGATCAGTGGACTTCGTGTCTTTGCTTTTGGGATTTGGTCAGTGACGTTTGAACTGAGAACTGGAACTTTTTCAGCTTTCCAAAGCTCAGGGGAGTTTTGCACCTCCTCATTAGTTCAGTTTCATTTCCATTTAAGACACCTAATAACTCCAGAAAACCTACTGTATTACAGTCTGAACATCTAATGGTAAATTAAAACAAGACCATTTCAGTGCTGAACCTCTTTTGGTGTTCTTATCTAGGATTTTTGTTAAAGCACCCTATAAAAATGTTTCTGAAACCTAATTCAATTCAAACAAAGATCATAAAGGGAGATTTAGTATATAAGCTCTGGAGATGTTGTCCTCTGATTTGACATCTGCCCCATCACTGAGAAGGACTACCAGAAGAGCAGATTTTCTGCAGGCTGCACACTTTGCAAACTGCAAAGTTTCAGCATGACTCTTTGAAAAAGCCAACATCAGAAGTAAATTACTTTCACTTCTCTTCCTTTCATCTCCTCACTGTAGTTCTCAAAATGATATCTACTTATCATTCATCTCATTTTTCTCTATTATATTTTTGTAGTAAACAACTAACCCTCTTCCTCCCCCTCCCCTCGCAATCCCTTTTTGCCAACTTACCTAGTGGCAGAACAATGAAGAAAGGAAGCCAGCACAAAATGAACATGCCAACCACAATTCCCAGTGTCTTGGCTGCCTTCTTTTCTCTAGAGAATTTAAAAAGTTTGAAAGCTAAGGAGTTCCTGGGATTGTGACCCTTGGATTTGGTGCTGTTTAATGTGTCCTCGTGAATGTTCCTGTAATGAATCCGTAAAGTCAACTCCTTGGATTTGGACATTTCTTTCATAACCCCAGCTTCCAGGTTTTTAGTAGTCCTTTTTGCCACTATGTAGACCCGACAGTACATCACGAGGATGACGATTAAAGGAATGTAAAATGATCCCAAGGAAGAAAACAAAGCATAGAATGGTTCTTCAGTGATACGGCATTCTTTATCGTCCTTGGGTGCTGGTTCTTTCCAACCCAAAAGAGGCCCAATAGAAATCACCATGGAAAGGACCCAGACACCTAGCAGAGCTAAAATTGCCCTTCTTCTTGTTACCAAAGTTGGATACTGGAGAGAATAACGTACCCCTATATATCTATCTATAGAAATTGCACATAGACTTAAAATAGAAGCTGTACAGCACAACACATCAACTGCTGCCCAGATATCACAAAATATCCTCCCCAAAACCCAGTAGCCAAGAATTTCCAGTGTAGCAGAGAACGGAAGGACAGTAAAACTCAGCAACAAATCTGCTATTGCGAGGTTAATTATGAAATAGTTTGTAGGAATTCTTAAATGTCTATTGCAAGCAACAGAGAGAATTACCAGGATATTACCTATAATAGCAAAGAGTATAAAGGCACCTAGGATAAGCCCCACAATTATTGCCCTACTGATATCCAAGGCAGGTGAATCCAGATTGCTTGCTGTCTCATTGGAGTTGTTTGCAGAAAGATTTCCATTATTTAGTGGAGACACTTTCAAATATCCAGGTATTGATGAATTGGATTTATCACCAAGGTAGGTATTCATCTTAAAAATCATCCTCCATAGCAAGTTATGATTGGATCCCTTGCACAACACGCAGATGGTTTGAGTTCAGTTGAAAGTTATCTCTCTGCCCAAGAAGTTGCTGCAAAGCCCTGGCCAGTTTTAGATTGAGAACTCATCTCCCCAGCAAGCTGTCAGCTATAAGCACGTAACACTTGCACAGCACAAAGTCCTCTGAAGCCTGTCAGAAATAATAGGCTCTTCAAACTTGCTTAATTTCTTATACGAACTCATTTAAACAGAAATTAGCAGGCAGAAGTCTTGTCTGGAGCTTGAAAGTTGCTGTTTCGATCATGACGTTCCTGAAAGAAAAGACAGGTTTACTGTTTTCCCTTGTGCACTGGTGGTTCTGTTGGAAGGATGCCCCTGTCTAGCTGCTGTGGCATGCGTCTCCAAGAAGGGTTTGTCAGCATTTAGGCAGCTCTGCATGAACTGGCTGCCTGTGCTCACACGGCATGTGCTAGTGACATCACTGCGGCCAGCCCTGTCACAGCGCTAGAGGGCAATGCAGTTCAAGTTAAAACTTCGTATCAAAGTCTGAAAGCTAAACAAATGGAATATATCAATCTTAATTAAAGCATTTGTCACATAAATCTGGATTGGAAACCTTTAAAAAACCGGTTTCATTATTTGAGGAAAAATATACTCCGTGGGCTGTGGTGAAACAAGCAATTTCAGTACAAAATGATCTAGAGCCCTTTTTGCCTTTTCCTCACCAAGGATACGTATTTGAGTTTATTTTGTAATCTAAGTGAATCACATGCCATTTTAGAGAACTAATCACCTCCCACCTCCTAAGGATAAACAAATAGGTTCCAATGTCCTAGTTTATTCATAGAATCAGTGTTTGATGATGGCATAAACACATACATAGTTTGGTTTTAATTGTAAACTTTCTGTTAATAACAAAAAAGTAACAGATGATCAAAATCACAATTAAGATCATTATGTTTGTTCTATACTCCTGTGTACCAGGCACATCTGTGGCTTCATCTCCTCTTTTCTCCCTACGTAACTTTTCTAAGCATAGGTACATTGCGAATCCCAGCCTTGGACAGAGCTGAACACCCTTACTCACAGTCAAAGTGAAGGCAGTGAAAAGTAGTAGTCTTTTCAAGGTACTCTTTATGCTTAAGTATGTTTCTATATCTTTGCTAAGGGCTGTGCAATCACTAAGACTGTTGTTAACTCATTGTAGCTCCGGAACGACCTACAATATCCTATAAAGGAAAAAATAAGTAACAACTGGTTTATTTTTTAGATAATATCCTCTAACGTTGAAAACAGTGGTTTCTTGGTTTCTTAATTTTGTGTACCATGGGGTCACCAGGTGGGGAGAAATCTCAGATCTTTATAGCTCAGTGCCATTAAAAACAAAAAGTGAAAGATTATCTGAACATAACTGCCAAAATACTGTACTCAACTTTCTGTCATCATATTATGTCCTACAGCTGTTGTCTGCAGTACTCTGGGTTACTGTATATTGATTTTCCTGTTACAAAATGTACTGTGTTTAAAATAAAAGGTTCATTTTTAATAAGGCAGCTATGACTAAAAGTTGCATCTGAGTGCTGGTTTTAAGGAGAAACCATGTAAACAAAAGCTCTGGTTGAATTTTATTTGAGGAGTGTATGGCAGATGTTTGTATAGCCCTTCCCAACAGCAGGGACTATAGCAAAGCACTATCATTCAAAAACTTTCCTTTGAAACATTTACAAGAATGACTGAGGGGTGACCTAATTAATGTTTATAAATATGTAAAGGGCGAATGTCAGGAGGATGGAGCCAGGCTCTTCTCAGTGATCCCCACTGGTAGGACAAGGGACAATGGGTGTGAGCTGGAACACAGGAGGTTCCGCTTAAACTTGAGAAGAAACTTCTTTACGGTGAGGGTGACAGAGCCCTGGAACAGGCTGCCCAGGGAGGTTGTGGAGTCTCCTTCTCTGCAGGCATTCAAGACCCACCTGGATGCCTTCCTGTGTGATCTCATCTAGGTGTTCCTGCTCCGGCAGGGGGATTGGACTAGATGATCTTTTGAGGTTCCTTCCAATCCCTGACATTCTGTGACTCTGTGATTCTGTGATGATAACATGTCATGGAGCCACTGAAGGGAAGAGGAACAAACACTCAATTTATGAGCTTAGCCTCAGCTTTTCTGCCTCTGCTCTCTCCAAAGCAGAGCTTTCATTGCTAATAAAAGCAGTTAGCAGCCTTTGATTTTGGACATACATCCTTCACACTTCTCATCCTTGCTGGACTCCACTTAACCAGTCTCAGTTTGGTTTGTGATTTCTGATTTTGTTTCTCTGCTTTGTCTGGTTAAACCGTGAATTCCTCAGACTAGGGGCTCTTTCCTGTTGTGAAGGTGCAGACACAGGTGTCAGGAGGTGCCATTACAGCTGTGCACAGCCTGGGCATCTGACTTGGTGCCACTCTCAGTGGAGCTGTAGTAGCAGCAGGACTAACTGCTTGCCAGGGTGTCCTAGTGGGGTTGCATAGCCTACAGTGAAGTCTGCATCTTCTCAGTCTTGGTGCTTGAGCTAAATTGATTAAAGCTAGTTAGATTAGAACATTAGGTCCAGACATAACAATGTTTCATCCTTTGGCATGTAAGAAAATGTGATCACTGCACAACGTGGAAGGGTTGGATAAGAAAAGATCAGTGAGGGAGTAAACTGGTCTACTTCAGTTTTTTAGCTGGCAACATCTGGGATGTGCCCAGCCTGCAAAGAATTAGAGTAGCCTGTTACTCCCCCCTGGCTTTGGCCACACCACATTAGGATTTTTTAGCCCCAAGGAAAGATTTCTACGAGTCAGCTGGTTTCAGCTTCCTGGCAAGGTCCAGGACACTGGGCCGACAACAGTGGCAGGAGAGGGCAAAAGGGAAGGGAATAGGGTTTCCAGGTGGTAGCGGTTGGACTAAAACACGTTTCTTTGCTCAGTATCTTTTGCTGGCAGTACTGGGACCAGTCTGCTTCTCTTACTAGTGCTGTTTTCTGTGCTCCTCTAGAGGAAACAACAGACAGAAAAGTCCCATTCTAGGGGACAAAGAGGAGGACAAAGCTACTGCTCATCTCTTATAAATCTACTGAAAAGTCTGATGTGTTTTTGCATCTCTGTTTATCAGTCTGTTTAATAACATACTGGTTGAATAGTCTTGAGGCTCGACTGATTGATGTTCACAAATTGCTTTGAGATCTTCAATGTCAGGTGCTATAATAAAGCAGAGTGTATTGAAACCTGAACATGAATGTTAACTCTTTACCTGCCTTTGGAGGAATGATAGAATAGGTACCATGAAAAATAGGCTCTTTTTTCTAACAAGTTCAAGGTAGCACTTCCAGCTAGTGCAATTGAAAACATCTGATCAGAGAATTGCAGATCGTATTCATTGCAGAGTTGCTTTTATTCAGATGAGTCATAGTTTTCAATGAAAAAGGAAAATTTAATAGCCTGGATATTCTACCTAATATTATGTTAATAATGATGTACAGCAAGACAGGCTATTGGCTATTCAATGTACTTCTGCTGAGAGCTTGCTGAAGCAGCAAAAGACTGGATACAGAACATACATTTGAGGAAGCACGGCAAACATCTTCATATGTTCTTAGTCTAGTTGAAAATTTGAAATATGCTGAACTTTTAAAATGTATTTTGTTATATCAGATAAATGATGCAAAAGGAGTCCTTTTGTCATGGATGAGTTTTGCAAAGAGGTGTGTTCCTTTTATTCTTCTTTTACAAACTGATGTTAAAAATATGTACGGGCATTTTGATCTGATTTCAGAAACACAGCAGAAGCACTTCCAGAGCACTTTTGCAACACCAGTGAATGATAATACAGCCTACTCCTGATTGGGCATGGGATTATGAGTTGATAGAGAATTTAAATTCGTATATCTACATATAGTTTTGTATAATTCCTCTTAATTCTTTGATTTAATTAGAAACCCTAATAACTCAAATAAATAAATAAATAGATATGACTGGAGAAAAACAAGGCTTTAGTGTCAGAAATACTCACTCTGATTTGAACAGTATTGTGAACATGCTATCATGCTTGATACAAGAGTTCTTGTTATACCAGCACAAACCAGAAAGCCTTCCTCCCATGAAAGAACTATGAAAAGCAAGAAGCAATGAGGAGGGAATTTGATGCAGCTGTAGAAATCGCTCACTTCTCTGCCACTGTCTCTGCTCTAAAACATTCCCAACAAGTGGAGTGAAGGAGGTGGGCTTGGAGAAGGCTTTTTGTGTGATTGTGGTGTGCACATGTGATACATAGGATGTATCTGAAGCTCAGAGGAAATGTGAGACTCTGATTGTTTCGCAGTAGATTATTTTCTTAATGATACAGCTTCTTTGTAGATGGTGTCAGTCATTAAAAGCATACAGATAAACAGGTGAAACTCCTGTTCGTTTTCATTAGAAACTTCAGTGCTAGTTACCTAGCTACACTTATTTTGTTAATTATAGGTGATGCAAAACATTAGCACTGTTTTGGTACAAGTGTTCTTTCTGAAGTCTTCTTGCTTTCTCTGAGGACCACTGGACAACACTTAAAATCCACAGACAGTGTGATCCATAAAAATTTTTCCCTTCATTTCCATTTGTGCTGATTAGCAGATCTTTGTCCTTCACAGAAAACCTCTTTGGCTTACCCAGAATTGTGAAAAATTTCCACAGACATTGGAAATACACAGGTTTATAGTTTCCTTGCATTTCATGGTTAAGCAGAAGCTTAACCATGAAATTTATGGTTAAGCTTCTGCTTAACCCTACTTAACCCTTCTACTTACTCCCTTTGAATATGAGGATACACACCCTGAGCCTCAGGAAAAGGTCAATTTCCATGATAAGAAGAGAAAAAATGAATTTACAGAATCACAGAACCACAGAATGGTTGGGGTTGGAAGGGACCTCAAAAGATCATCTAGTCCAGCCCCCTGCCAGAGCAGGTTCACCTAGAGCAAGTTGCACAAGATGGCATCCAGGCGGGTTTTGAACATCTCCAGAGAAGGAGACTCCACAACCTCCCTGGGCAGCCTGTTCCAGTGCTCCGTCACCCTCACAGTAAAGAAGTTTTTCAAGTTTAAGCGGACCCTCCTGTGCTCCAGCTTACACCCATTGCCCCTTGTCCTATCACTGGCCACCACTGAAAAGAGTCTAGCCCCATGCTCTTGACACCAGCCCTTTAGATATTTGTAAACATCAATAAGGTCACCTCTCAGTCTTCTCTAGGCTAAACAGGCCCAGCTCTCTCAGTCTAACCTCATAAGATAGATGCTCCAGCTCCATAATCATCTTTGTAGATGTCCAGTAATGATATTTAAAAACTTGTGGCTTTATTTTCAGAGTGAGAAAAATGTATCATAG